AAAAGGTCCTCTACCTTGTCTCTACTGCTGCCGCTGCTTGGGATTAGAAAGGTAGGCAGTGAATTTAGAAGAACTAAAATGCCGGAAATGCAACGAGTGACACTGACTACATTTTATAAATCAGGCTATCAAAATATTTGTAGTGCATTGCTGATTTGTGGAGTAGTGTTAAACTAAAATAAGGTTTGTTCAATCTTTAGATCAGCTACCTTACCTTATTGAGGTTGAATTATGGGGATACAATTAGCTTCGTGCACTACTAATCAACTATATATTAAGCCTGCTGTTAATCAGCTTGGTACACCTAAAATCAACCAATAATCAGCTGTAGTTCTTACTGTTCAGCTTGAATTGTTACTTGGGTGGTATAAAAATCAAATGCTAGTGTGGATTTCTTACATCCTCTATATATGTTTTTACAACATATGTAATGGCAGTACTTACAATGGATTTACAATAATTTTGTCCAAAATGAATATTTCATATAAAACCATCACGAGATGATTTTTTAGCCGCAGTTCATTTTTTTTGGAAACGACCGCCGTTTGGTATGCTTTTTATGCAAATCTATTATAGAATCTTAAATTTTCCAGTTGGTTGTGCAAAATAATTAATATTTTTCAAATGCCACTAGAACGAACGTTATTAGTCATTTGACCGAATGGTAGTTTTACCGAATATTGGACAGTAGAGATTAACCTTAAGGGTTTCAGATAACCTAGTCAGTAAAGGCACGGTATAACCCGATTGAAGCGATTTGGACGGGGAGAGCGGGAATGTCAACTCCCTGTTGATAACATTTCGTGGATGAAGGGTGGACTCTTCTTCCCACGCATTGAGGCATCTTCCTGTTTGGGGGCTCGTACTTTTGACCAATTGTGCGATCATGTTGCTGGAAGGAGATTCTTTACTGTCCCGTAGATGCGTATTGGCCCTTCACACAGCACTTCAATCAGAGGTTATTAAGTTTGATCAAGGTGCTAAGATGGGTGGTAGACCACTATCATGCACCACCAGCCGCAGGCGGCGGGTTCAATTCCCGGACCGGTCGAGGAAATATGTCGGTTTCGAAATTCGCTCTTCCCTGGGCATACTCGCAAAAAAATCCGTTCCCATATTCGTGAACGAGAGCCGTCAACTTTAGTTCACGGTGCATATTTCCTTCTACGCGCGGATCGTGAACTTTGGTTCACGGCTGCCGTTCACGAATATGGGAACGGTTTTTTTTTTTTGCGAGTGGAGTATAATTATGCTTTCCACATAATATCTAGACCAACAATTGAAATAGGCGGAACAACCAAACGTAAACAATGGCTTAAACGCAAATTCCTCGAGAATCAAAGCACATCCAAGCAATCTAACACCATCATCTAATAGAGCAAACTTCCTTTATCGAATGGATTTGTTAGTTTGCGTGGGAGTGTTTTGATTCTCGAGAATTTTGTGTTTAAAGCCATTGTTTACGTTTGGTTGTTCCGCCTATTTCAATTGTTGGTCTAGATATACAAATTCATGCATTGGTTGGCATAGATTGAATTGGTCGATGAACCTGATGAAATAAAACAGCCAGTTAATAGTAGTTGTAGATTTGAAGGTTTTCACCCAATTACATTAGATGAACTTAAAGTTATTTGCTTTTCATTAGGAAAATCGGCTGGAGTAGATAATGTTAATGCTAGAGTTATTCGAAATTGCTTTCATGTCATTGGCCACATCTTTCTGGACCTTATTAATAAATCATTGCAGAATGGACATGTGCCACAAATTTGGAAGGAATCCTTAGTGGTTCCTATTAAAAAAGTTGCTGGAAAGCCGAAGAGTTTCGTTCTATCACATTAGAGAAAATCTTAGAACTTGTTGTTAAAGGCCACCTGTTGGAGTATTTGAATAGCAACTCTTTGTTGATACCAGAACAATCAGGATATCAAGAAGGTCATTCTTGTGAAACTGCGTTGAATTTGGTGTTATCAAAGTGGAAAGACAACTTGGAGCGTAAATATATGACTGTTGCTGTTTTTTTGGATCTGAAACGCGCTTTCGAAACAATTTCTAGGACCTTACTGTTAAGTACAATCAAGCGCTTTGGAATTACGAGTAGTGCATATAAATGGTTTGACGGCTATTTATCTGACAGAACTCAACGGACTGTTTTTAATGATACTGTTTCCAGTCCCGTGGAGAATAACCTTGGAGTGCCCCAGGGAAGTGTATTAGGGCCCCTTTTATTTATTATGTATATTAATGACTTGCGACGTGTTTTACGGTTTTGCGACATCAATCTTTTTGCAGATGATACTGTGTTATTCATTGTAGTTAAGGATTTAGAAGTTGCCATCCACACTTGAATGAAGATTTGGAGTATCTAAGTAGATGGTTGAAGTGTAAGCAGTTTAAATTGCATACAAGTAAAACTAAATTTATGGTTATTTCGCGGAATCGATTAAATAAGAACGTCTCTCAACTCTAACATTGATAATGTCATCAAAAAAATTGCCAAGAAGTATGGAATTCTACGTTGACTGAAAAACGATTTAACTATTGCCAGTAAAATACAGCTATACAAACCAATCATCTCTCCTCATCTAGAGTTTTGCCCATCCATTTTATTTCTGTCCAATGAAACACAAATATCGAGATTACAGCGCTTGCAGAATAAAATAATGCGTTTGATTTTGAGATGTAATAGATTCACTTCCTCAACTTTGATGCTGGACGCCTTACAATGGTTGTCAGTGAAGCAAAGAATAGTATATTTGACGATGGTGTTCATTTCTAGAGTAGTTAACGGAAGATATAATAGATATAATACTAGAAACGAGGATGAAATAAGAACATCACATTTCTTGACTTGTGCATCACAGAATTCATTATTTTTTAAAGGAATAAATGTTTTCAATTCAATGCCTAGACACATTAAACGTGCAACAATATTAGCAGAATTTAAGAGACATTGCATTTCACACGTTAAAGCTGTCTTTTGAAAGGCTCCTTGGGTAACAGGCTCCGAAAATCGATTGCCTTTTTTAATAACAACTATTTGGGAGCTAAAATATCAATCTACCTGCAAATTATCAAAATTATTATTAGGGAAGATTAGAAAACTTCAAGGTGTTCAGAAAAAATGTAGGGAAATCTTTCAAGGAATTCAAGGAAATAACGAGGATTTCGGGGGAGTTACATCAATGGAATGTAGGATAATAAGGGAACTTTCTTCAAATTTCGGTCATTTTATGGAAGCATCGAGAACTTCATGGCGGTTCCATCCGCTTTAAATGACTTATGACCTTCAAAGAAATGCAGAATTATTTCTAACAAATTCAAAGAAAATTATAGAAAACAATTCAACGGAGTTTTGCTTAAAATCGAATTGCCAGAATTATTGGAAACATATCTAAGTAATACATTAAGAAATACTACATGTCTAAAATTGAAAAAAAAATCTAATATTTAAAAGTTCTGATCTTTCTATAGAAGTCTGGATTAAAAAAAAACAAACTTTTGGTTCGAATTGAGTAAATGGTTTTTGTAGCATTAAAACGATGAGATGATCTTTAAACCTTGGAAAAACGTTTTTTTGCTATGTAGCTACTCAAATTTACTGCCCTACCCGTGTTTTTATAGTCATAGGAGTGGAGCGAAGGACAAACGTTTAGAATAAGCTTCTAAAAGAAGATTCTAAAAAAACGCTTTTAAAAGAAGCATATTGTGGACACTTACTTGTCAAAACACGGGAAGTACAGCAAATCTGAGCAGCTACGGAGTAATGGTTTTTCAAAGGTTTAGGGAGAATTTCATCGTCTTAATGGTACGTTTCAGAACGCGGAGCACCTCTGCATAGTGGGCAACTCCTCTTAACAAAACCCGGACAAAATTCTGAAAGGGCTCGTAAACGGTAAAGTTTCCGAAACATAGGGATGGAATTTTTGAAAAGCTGGAAAAAATCCCCTTTAGGCAGTGCTAAATTGGTAGAGACTAGGGGAAATGGCTCTAATGTTGGCCTATGGATCTAAGATTGGGCCCATCGCTAAAAATCTGCTATTTATCATTTGTATCTAAATGAACGCGTCATTGGGACGGTACTAATGGATATTTTTGGTTGGTATTAAAAATTTAGCAATTTAAATTGTTGAATTTATGTATGGGCCCAAATTAGGGGCATTTAGGCCGACATTACATCCATTTCCCTTATATGGAAAATGTAATTTTGCCAGCTCGAGGATCTCACACGCGGTACGTAGAAAACGAGATATGTTAGGAGGAAAAATGCTAACTCTTTAACTCAAGAGTTATTACAACAGATGGAGAAAGTTGCTGTATGCCTTTTAATGGTGCAATTTCACAACCACAAGATATACGAAATTGCGTCATTAAACGTAATCGACCCGAAATGATAAGTAAAGATTAGTGCCCAAAAGGAGTACATCGCAGTTGCACAAGTTTTACTTTCATTCTGCGCAAAACTTGTCTGTCGAAATCAACGGTCATGCCCTCTTTGCTACTTCAAAAATAAAACACCCCACATGCAAGAAGATAATATCAGGTCGAGGAAAGTGAGTATGTGAAACGAAAAAAAAAACCGAATCACCCAATAAATAGCATCCTCCTCCAACCACAGTTGTCTTCTCCGTCGACCATTCACCACCGCACCAGATTTCAAACGAAGCAGTTTTTTGCAAATCGTAATTAATAATAATACATTTCGAGCACTTATCAAGAGACGCCACCGTGTGAATTGTTAGTAATTAAGAGTGCTAATTATTTTATCACCCTCAATCACTACCTTCAAACCCCCCTTAAACTTCGGCTCATCTTGCTGATTGGATCAAGAGCAACCAGCGCTTCCAACATAGAAATGAAAGTTGTTATGATGAAGTTTTCCGGAATAAATTGGATTTTGTAACGACTTTTTGCACTTGTAGCAAGTCCTTCTCAAAGATCGCTCAAAATATGTTGTTATCGAATTATCAGCATTGAACACAATTTCCTCCTCCGATACTTACTTTCAGTTCTGCTTCCTGGAATACTTTTGCCTTCTTCTGGTGTTCGGCCCCGCTTTCCGCCTTCTGCTTCTCGGCATCCATCACCTACGATAGAAGGTTGAGAGAGAGAAAGGAAAAAAAATAAACAAACGTGATAAACGAATAGCGATCAGGTTTTTCGATTCGTTCGAAGAAGAATTCCATTAAAAACAAAAAATTCCGTTCTGGCATTGGCATTGGCAGTCCTTCCTGTTTTTTTTTATGTGTCATGGGTTGCCAGAGGAATTTCCAAACTTTCGTTAAAAATAGAAAAAACTGTAATTTTCTGAGTTGGATGCAGTTTGGTTTGCAAAGAGGCGGTATTCAATCAAATGCATTGAATAGGAAAACACGCTGGGGTGGCGGTTTCGAGTCGAATCATTCGATCACTTTGCCAGCCACATGGAAATGCTTCACACACCATATGAAAATAAACGAAAATAAAATCGAAAAGTCGAAGAATTGAAACGTTGCGGAATTGCGTTTCAAATTTTAAATTCACAATTGAATAAAGAGGGTCAAGTGGAACGACAGTTACGACTTTTCGCAACGCTAATGGGGCTGTCCACATGTCCATGTAAATGCTGAAGAATTTGTATGAATGATTGTCCACGTAGAGAGAGTTGGATTAAGATCTCTCAAAAAACGGTCCACATGGTTTTGCTAATATTAAGCATGTGACATTGTCTAAATTAATCAGGGTGCCAAGTGAATTTTCATTTTGAAATTCCTGGTTGTTTCCTAGTTTTCCTGGTCGATGATTTAAAAATTTCCTGGTTTTAAAAACCATGTATTTAATAAAACAATTTTTAATAAAAAAATAAAGTGAATCCTTGTACCATCATTTTTTTGCGCAATGCGGAATTTCACAAACCAAAATAGGTATTAAGGTTCTTGTGAATGCCCGTGAAATCTTTATCTGATTGTTTGCTGTAAAGAAGCTAGTAGGGAGCCGCGCTACTTTGTCGTATAATGGCGCCTATTTCTGTTCTATGTGCTAATACTATAAAAACAAAGCGTTTTCACTCATGATTTGCAAAAATAGCTTTGCTTACAAGATTAATTACGATTGACACTGAAACTTTTGCGATAACCCGTAAAATGAGCGATTTTAGGGGTGTATGACGAAGAAAAGCTGAGATACGACGGACTAGCACGGAGCCCTATACAATGTCTGAAATTTAGAGATCTATAAGCCCCTAAATCTTGAGATTTCTGTATTTGAAACTGCGATTTTTTTAACTTTATTATTGAGATTTTTAGCCAACGGGCTAGTTTATCTCAATGTGAAATTGCGGAGTGTTATATGAATGAGTACTCTTTAAACAAACTAACAATTTTACGGATTTTGTTTAAATTTTCCGCAAATTGTCAACGATTAAGGATCTTATTTAGCGGAATTTTGATTACAACATGATTTCAAAATCATGATTAAAAGATTTCATAAACAACACTGGTTGAATAACTCTTATTATTAAAAAGACTGACTGCTGAAGTTCATACAAACTCCCTAAAGTTCGTAGAACTTCCCTGACGCATTAAGGTCTTTCCTGAAGGGTTCATTGAAGTTTGTATTGCCTGAATTGCATGGGACTTCCCCGAAGTTCGAAGGACTTTTTTTAAGATCTTAGGACTTCCCTGCAGTTCGGAGTTTTTTTTTTTAAATTCATAGGAATTTCTTAAATATCGTAGAAGTACCACGAAGTTCGTGGAAATTCTCAGAAGTTCGTAAGACTTCCTTCAAGTTCGAAGAACTTTCTCGAAGATCTGAGGACTTCCCTGAAGTTTGAAGGACTTAACTGAATATATATGGACCCTTAATTTAGAAGAGCTTCCCTGAAGTTCATAAGGCTTTAAATATCGAAGGGTTTTCCAAAATTTTGTGGATCTTTCCTTAATTTCTTGGAAATTCCCTGAAGTTTGGAGAGCTCCCATGAATTTCGTAGGACTACCTGTAGTTCAATATACTTCTCGGAAGTTCTTGGAACTTTTTTGAGCTTGGAAAACTATGTTAAGTTCAGAGGACTTCCCAAGAGTATTGAAGACTTCTCTGAAGCTCGGAAAAAAATCCATAAGGGTCATAGGATTATCCTTAAGTTTTAAGCAATGCCTAAATGTCGTAGAAGTTACATTAAATCTATAGAAAATTCTGTAAAATTTGTAGTTATTCCCCAAAGATTAAGGGACTTCCCTGAAGTTCGTAAAATTTCTCTGAAATTTGTAGAACTTCTCTGAAGGTTCGGAGAGATTTCCTGACCGTCGTAGGTCATCACAGTAGTTCACAGGATTTTCCTGAAACTTGTAAGACTTTCCCGAATTTTGTAGAACTTGCAAGTTCGAATGCCATATCAGAAATTTTTAGAAATAGAACTTTTTTATTGAAAATGTTGAACAGGTGCTTCAAAGTAGTTATGCGTCGGCACTGCTTAAGTCTGCTTTTAACTAAGCACAAATCATACAAGCAATTGATTCGAGAAAAAATTAAATTAAAAATAAATACAAAATATATTTACTAAATTCTCAGAGTAAATTTTGTTCATCAACGTTTAGCTGTGTGAAAGATTTAGCTTGAACAAAATGGTTAGTTTTGACCTGATTATAAAAAGAAACTTTGACATACATAAAATTTAAAACCTATTTAAATTATACAAACAAGATTATTTTCCTGGTGGACTTATGAAATTCTTGGTTTTTCCGGTTTTTCCTGGTGAAAATAAATTCCCGAATTTATCCCGGTTTTCCTGGTTTTCCTGGTTCACTTGCCACCCTGATGCCATGCCATGCATAGCTGCTCAGGTAATACACCTTGGGGCTGTTCAACGTGGACTACGTAGATAGTTCTGTGGGATTCTTAACCCCCCCCCCCCCTCCCCCTGCGTAGACAATTGTCCATACAAAATTTTTAAAATTTGTATGGGCCGTAGATAATTGACAACCCTCCCCTCCTAAACTGTCTACATAGTTTATGGACAGCCCCTTTCCCGTGTTTTATTTTGTTAAAGATAATGGAGCGTAGCGGCGGGAAAGCTTCTAAAAGAAGTATCATAAAGAAGCTCCTCTAACTAAAAACACATGGACCGGTGATAAGCCTAAGTATCTACGGATTAACTAAGTGTTTCCCAAAAAAAACGCAGTATCTCTTTTTACTTTTTATATCACACAAGAAAATGTCTGGAATAATTCAACAACAAATATAAAAAGCGAAAAGAAATCAGAACTATTTCATGTAAAGCTCATTTATGCAATATCTCTGAAATTCTTACGAAAAACCATCAATAGCTCGTAGCGAGTATATTAGCACAAGATATCCTTTCAATTCTTTCTGAAGCTCCTAAGTAAAATATCTCATGAAGCTCAATAAAAATACGTCTTTCGAATTCTTCCCATAATGCTCATTAGTTCCATTATAAATTATGCAAAGAATTTAGTTGAAGGTACGCATTGAATCCCTC